TATATATACTGATATCAAGCTATTGCTGATTGTTGTTTTTTCAGTATGGTTTCAATATATACAGTACACACATATATATATATATTATGGTAATAACCATTAACAGCATATGGCAGTTGCATATAACTACCTCTATCACACGTTTTTGTTTTACAGTACAGATCGGTTATTATTATATTAATATGTATGCTAAAAAGTTAAAATAATGGAAAATGGCAGCCATTTTAAATTGTAATAGCTCAAAAATGTGTACAATATTTAGTTAACTGTTGTTGTCATTGTTATGAGTGAATTTCCAATTGAATGCTGCATTTTAATAACATAAACATACAATATTAGTGACAATTTTAGGAAAAAATTGCGGCCATTTTGAAACTGCTGGCAACCCCCCTTACGTATGAAAAAAAAAATGTTGCACATACTTTTTTGATTTATCAATGTCTACTCCTCATCATATCCAATTTTTAACAAATATAGCAAAAAAAAATGCAACCCCTGATATTGCTACATTTCGGACTGGACTAAATAGTTAGGTTTGTAGTTAAGATAAAAGTTGTGACAGCCCCGAAACCTCGACTCAGAAATACCGGGATGGTGTCCGGCTGGGGATAGTTTCTACCATTTTTATCTATTTAAGTAATTATACAGTATTTGTCCTACCTGGTAATCCCGGCCCCGAAACCTTGACTCAGAAATACCGGGTTGATGTCCGGCGGGGGATAGTTTTTACCATATTGTAGTTAAGTTGTAGATAAGCATAACCTTGAGCTGTAATTCCTGTCCCCGAAACCTTGACTCAGAAGTACCGGGTTGGTGTCCGGCGGGGGATAGTTTTCCACCAAAGTTTTAACTGTTGTTTATTTTGTTGTACTGTGATGGTTACTTTTGTTGTTGTTATTGTAATATGTGTTTGCAGGACCATATTGTAAAACAGCGGTAAGATCTCGCCTGTATATGTTGTCCTGCCTGAAGATGTTTTAAATAAAATAAAATAAAAAAAAAATTTAAAAAAAATGAACAAGATGTTATGATCGTATAAAGCTATATAGCACTTCCTTTATTCAGTTATCTCTTGCATTATTCCAAACTGCAACACCTGGCAAGTCGAGTATTATACCTGTTGGACTTAAAGGGTGTATCTATTAGACCAATAGGGTACGGTATAGGCGCAGATCTAACCTCCAGGCACTTTCTCTTATACAACTGACTGAACCGCTCACACATAGTGGAGCT